TCACACTTATGGTTTACTTAATAACTATACTGAAAAAGAGGAGTAAAAAAGATGCCCACCTAGGTAATTTTAGAAAACAGTGTTTTGACTGGATACTGTAATGGTTAAGGTAAAAGAACTGCATATAACTCCTGTACTGTAGTATAGTTAGTAACATTTGTTCCATGAAAGGGTTTAAGTTAGCATTTCTGAAATTATTGGTATACCAGATTTGAGCAAATGAATATATTACAGATAATGAAAGTCTGTTTTCTTAGTATTCAAGTAAGAAGTAGAATTAGGTAAAGGGAAAAGCTAGTGTGAACTCTATGGTAATGACATAGAGTTAGAATTATCAATATAGGCTAATATTTTTTTTACACAGAAATTACCTAGGCAGGAAAATATAGATGTGTATGAATATATGGTTTAGTATACCTACATTTATTTTCTAGCAATAGCTACTGGAAAGTTAGTGATACGTTCGTAGCAACTTAGTTTCCAGAGCTTGATTCCTAAATAGCATTCTACAATTAAAAGAACCACAGCTTCTAGCAGAATTTATTGATTCCAGATTTGAGGCAGAGAAATAGGAGATGGTCCTTTTGGTACATTTTTTGGTTCTACACAGTATCAAGTGCTATAGAAAAAAGGGGCAGAGGTGATGGAGGAAAAGAAAAGAAAACGTAAAGCTGACTCACACAGGGAGGTGGGGGGAGAAGGGAGTAACATATACATCAGCCCAGCTATAGGAACTGAGACCTTGACAGGTGTCAGACTACTGTGAGGAGTGCCAAGAGCACAGACTTGAAGGTGAATATATGGAGACTGAGCCCATTGTAAACTCTCCTGTCCCTTTCAAATCCTACATAGTTATTCAAAATCAACAACAAACTCATAAAGATGAGCCCCTCCCCACTGAAAGATGATAAAACCTAAAGCTGCCCCCACAAAAGCACAGCTCTTTCTGCCTGTCTGTGTCTATGCAAGTGTCCTTTATTTACTCTGGCCCTTTTCTTAATAAACCTGTTCTTTTGAATGTAACTAACATCTCTGTCTGGCGGAGAAACTTGCCTAGGAAATTCAACACTTGCCACTGAAAAAGGAGTTCTGGTGAAACCTTTCCCAGAGTAAACCCAAGGACCCCACTCTCTGAATCCAAAAACTCCAAATAATGATATCTATCACCAGTATACTGAAAGATTACAGATCATCTGAAAAAGTGCCAAATGGATTAAAGAGGGACAATTTGAGCAACAAAACATTTAAAAATACTGGAGTATGTCACAGAAAATGAGATAAATAGTAAGAGTAGTGATACACAGAAGATAGTGAATAAGCAAACAACTGATGAAGAAGAGACAAATGTTCCTTAAAGGGATTCAATTAATAAATACAGAAGAAATGAGGAAAACAGAAAATTACCAATGGAACACTACATTAATAACTTGTATAAAGGTGAAATCTAGCAAAGGATACTCAAACTGGTGGGTGAACATGTAAACAGGAAAAATATATTTGTACAGTCTCAAAATATTTAGTACTTATAAAGAGGAAAATAGTAACTTGCCATGGAAAATCCTAAGAGACACCATCTTAACCACGTGATCGAGGTTAACATCTCCAGTAATACATACTGACATCATGTACTCCCTGATATGAAGAACTAGGAGAAGGACAACAGCTCTGTGTGATCCTGCCCAAAGATGCATAACCCTAAGCTCATCAAAAGAAAGTATCAGACAGACCCAAAGTAAAGAACACTTGACAAAGCAAAGCAGAATTACTCAAACTTGTTTGTCTAGGTCACAAAAGACAAGGAATGACTAAGAAACAGACTGGTGAAGGCTAAAGAGACATGAATAAATGAAATGTAGAATCAGGAAACAGAACACTATAACAGAAAAGTTATATTTACAAAAAACAAAAACATCTTCACTAATAAAATATTTTATCAGCATTCACCAATCTTTGTTTCAACAGTTGCTTCATAGTTATATAGGATGTTAATATTAGCGCAAGCTACATATGAGAATACTATTTTTGCAACTTTTCTATAAATCTAACATTATCTCATAAAGAAACTAAAAAGTAAGGTAACTGGCAGAACAATGAGAAAAGAATATATAAATTAAAAACAGTCTATGATCCTTGCATATCAATTACTGAGGAAAAGGTTAAGGTATTAAGCAATATTAGAAGATGGTAAATCATACTTTGTTTGTAAACTATTTAATGATCAACAAGTGTTTATAACTTCCAATTAATAGAATGAGAAGATGGAATAAAATGAAATTTTAAAAAAGGCAAGGAGGAAAAACAGGAAATGAACAAGTAAAAAAAAAACAGGAGGAACTTAAGAAAATATAGATTTAAAACTCAAATATATGAATATTTAATTAAAAGTGAATTAAATGAAATAAAAGACTGCACTAAAATGTCCAACTATATACTGTTAGCAAAGGACACATAAAAGACAAAAAAACAGAACTGTAAGAATGTAAATCATACAAACACCAAAGAAATCTGATGAAACCATAGAAATATAAAAAAAAATAAAAACTTTAAGACTAACATTACCACTAAAGATAAAAATGATAAATGTATCATGATAAAAGTTATAGTCACCTGGAAAACTTACCAATTCTAAATTTCTACACCCCTAAGGCCATAACTTCAAAATGATATATAAAATAAAAATTAACAAATAAAAGGATAACTAGAGATGTCTCAACAATCATAGTGGGAGAGCTTAATGCATCACTCTTAATATCTCTTAATAACTCACTGGAAAAAAATATAAGGAGATGGACTATTTGAAAAATATGGTTTACAAACTTGATTTAATTGATACATATGGAATACTGCTCCCAGTGCTAAAATGACTGTTGGATCATTAAAGAAATTTCACAAAATTTTATTTACTTATCTATGCATACAGAACTGGGGTACAGGCCAGAGGTGCAGAGGCAGTGAGAGGATTCACCAGAGACAGAGTGGGGAGCAGAACAGGCAGATGATGAAGTACACTGCTGAGGGGAGCAGCAGGCAGGCTAGGAGAGATCTACCACACCACATGGGTCACCTCCAGGGCTGGGGATCAAACTTGCACTGAAGCAAGCTGCAGCTAGCTTACAGTTCTGTGCTTTAACCCACTGTGCCACCAGGGAGGGCTTCACAAAATGTTAAAGGACAAAAACTGATTACATTTTCTAGCTACATACAATATAATTAAATTAGAAATTACTAACAACAGATTTTAAGTCTTCATATTTGCAAATTAAGAAAAATGCTTCTAAATAACCTATGAGTTAAAGAACAAATCATATGGAAAATAAAAATACAGTGGACTGAGAAGTAATACGAAACTTGGAGGGTACAGCTAAAGCTAGAAGAAAATTTATTAATTAAAGTTAAAAAGTTTTCTACTGGCCCTCCCTGGTGGTGCAGCGGGTTAAAGCACAGCACTGAGAATCTAAAGCCACTTCCACATGAGTTCGATTCCCGCCTGCCCCGGAGGTGACCACATGGCGTGGCAGACCTCTCCTGACCCGCCCGCTGCTCCCCTCAGCAGTGTACTTCATTGATCTGCCTGTTCTGCTCCCTGCTCTGTCTCTGGTGAATCCTCTCACCCTCCGCATCTCTGGCCTGTACCCCAGTTCTGTATGAATAAATAAATAAATCTTAAAAAAAAAAAAAGTTTTCTACTTTGCTGCACTGCCTCTAGCTAGAGGATACAGCTTTTCTTTGGGCATTTTTTTGTTCATATCTGTTGGCATTTCCAGGTTGCTAACTTCTTCAGTACCATGTCTTAAGTATATGAGCCAGAAAGAAACCAAGGGACTGTACTTCTGCAGGATTCTTTGTGTCCCCAAATTCTTAGCTGGTTTGCCTTTTCGCCCCCTTTCAGAGTATTCTTATATTTTCAATCTAAAGATGTTAGCTGTTACTTAGCAAGAGGAATAGAGAAAAGAGTATCTACTCTTTCTGGCAGAAGTCTCCCACAAGGAGTTTTTAAGGTACAGAAGATATAGCCCTCTTTTAATGTGGATGGGGATTATTAACATGGTTGTTCATTTTATTGTTCTTCCTGCATGATTTATGCATACTTCTCTGTATACATTTCACAATTTAAAAATAAGCATCACTGTAAGTTGTAACTGTATCACAGTTCTCATAATTCCCTGTGAGGCAAGGAGAAAACGTCTCTTCTACTTTGCAGCAGGGATACTAAAGCTTGGAAAACAGAGACTACGGAATCTGAGTTGACGACGCAAAGCCAGGACTCTTTTCCACTAAGGTATTTACTACAAATTCCCGAGTTTGGTCTCTGCTAAGATGATACTTAAGAAATGCTGAACCGGCCTTCCCTGGTGGCGCAGCGGGTTAAAGCACAGCACTAAGAAACCTAAGCCACTTCAGCATGAGTTCGATCCCCGCCTGCCCTGGAGGTGACCACATGGCGCGGCAGACCTCTCCTTACGCGCCCGCTGCTCCCCTCAGCAGTGTACATTGTCAATCTGCCTGTCCTGCTCCCCACTCTGTCTCTGGTGAAGTCTCTCACGCTCAGCATCTCTGGCCTATACCCCAGTTCTGTATGAATAAATAAATCTTTTTTTAAAAAAAAAAATGCTGAACCACTATTAAAAACACACCCAAAATAAGGCCTCAAGTTTTTCCAGAGACATTTTATTTTTGATTAATGTATAATCAATGGAAATACTATAAAAATAAATGTGTAAACAAGGTATAAGAACCTGGATTTACTAAAATATTTACAAAACATCACTAAGCACTATTGATGACTCTGTTGCAGCCACTTTGACCCTGACTTTTGGCTACAGAGATGACACAGACTGACCAGAAGAGAAGTGAGTTTGCCCAGAACCTACCACTCTGCTCCAGACAAATACCTCTCCAAATTTTTGCCTGACAGGGGCTGGAAAACAGAAAGGTGCCTGCCACAGTGCACTTAAAGATGTGAACTTTGAGCCAGGAAGAGAAAGGGCAGAAAAAAGATGTCAGTCAACTTCTGTTGGTCCACATGGCCTTAAGAACTCTTGTCCTCGCTCATGGAACCACCTATTAGAAACTATGAACAGGGAAAAAGTGTGTTACAATCCCATTTGTTCAGTCAGCAATCAAAATCAATTACCCCTTCAACCCAGTCTTGTGCTGGACCTGGTACTCAGTCATGACTAAGATACTTTTTTAGGTATTCATGAACTATGAAGAAGATGGACATGGCAACAATAATTACACATAATACTGCCAGTGACACAAGAACAGGTATCTACAGGTTACAATGGGAGCAGAGTTAAGGAGCATATAATCAGGTAAGAGAAGAAAGGGGCCCCAGAGCTAGAACAAATAGTTAAGTGAAAGTTATTCTGGTAAAATGGACAGACCATGATGGTTCATAATCAAAAGGGGTCTAGAAAATGGAAACAGACTAAGGCAGATATAGACAGGAACCACCTGGTTTGTTTCTAGAAGTCTAAGAAACTTGATATTATTAGGATTTTATGGTTGGGAGCTGAGGGGTAGAAGATAAGCCTGTCAGGTCTGGAGGAGCTAGGCATAAACCTCAGACTGTGGGCACAGAGTGGCAGAGATGGTGCTGGCTCTCCCACCTAAAGCTCTGTGACATATACATGAGCATGATTTCATTTCTTAACAAAGACTGTTTTATAATGAATTAAAAAATAATTTCATTCTAATATATACTAAAGTCATACTACTTTTAAAATATAATTTACCACAATTTTTGAAAGAAAATATTATATTCAGTTGAAAAAAATCGAATTATTCCACATGGTTTATAATGGTAAACATCAATCTCCTACCTAATCATGCCCAATTTCCTCTGGAAAGTCCACTTCCAGAGGACTGTTAACTTCTTTGTTTCTTCTGATATCCTCATTTTCTAAATAACATATTTAATAATGCTATTTATTAATTTTCAATTTTAGATCTTATATATTGATGGGCCATCATGGAGGACAAAGATTTGGAATTTTTAAACCACTCCTAAACTACATATGTCCCTCTTTTATCCTTAGTATAGTTAAGTCCTAAGTTTAAATTAACACTCAATCATATCATATAATATTGCTCATACCTGACCAGCTAGTAAATTATACTTTTATTACTTTTCTTGTGCAACCTTTTTTTTCTCCTGAGTTCATCAATTGTTTCATTTTCATTTGCTTAATCTATGAACCTATCACTATCCCCAAAACTCTTTAGGAAGATTATAAACTCATTCCTTTGTGATCACTACCACATCCTGGTTCAAGCTTCTCCATGGCAAACCATAGTTGTTTCCAGATAAGGTTCAACCTTCAGCCTCTGTGGTTTGGGCCTAGGCTCAAGCCTCATCTCTTGACCCCTGTGTCACATGTCTCTCATCCAAGTGACAATACATCTAGTTTCTACACTTTCTATGCTGCTTTTAGCCAATGCTTATTTTATCTGGGCCTTGTTTGCCTGGGACACACCAGTTCTCCCTAAGGCCCCTCAGAACCTTTGCCAGAGTTGATTTCTCTTGACAATCATATTGAAGAAACCTCTACAAGGCTCTTATAGCATTCTCAGGGTGCTCAAGGGGCACTCAACCTGTTGTCTTGATATACTTTACCAGCTGAGAGGACAGAGAGGTAGACAACTAAAAGAGGTTCATAAACTAGTATAGAAAAATTCTATTATAGAAAAATTCTATTGAAGGAAATTCTCTTGTCTTTATGTAAGAAATTGGCGACAGTTTACTCCAAGCAAATACCGACCACCAAAGCCCAGTCTGAGGCCAACATGGCTAACCCCAGATCTTAGATTACTCACCCCATTTGCAGCCCACAAGAACAGGGCAGGCAGCATGTATTGTTAAAGGGTTGCCTTTTCCACTTCGAAGAAGATTATACCAGAACAAGGCTGTCCCCTGGAGAGAGACAGCATCTCAGAACACATCCTAGAACTGGTTTTGAGGCAACAAATCAAAGAGGGTCCCTTGGAGACAATATTTAACCCCCCACCCCCAGAGACTCCATGTATGATAAATAGGAGATTTTTATTTTTTCCATTCAGCAAAAGTCTTCAGCTACATTTATATACTCATCATCCCAAGTTTATGTGATCTGTAGGACCTGACCATGATGTGCTCTTGAAATTCCAACCTGGAAGAAAGTAATCTCATTTCCTGTGTACAAATGACAAAATTCTGGGTCTGTAGGGGCATTCCCCAGGTATCATCTATCCCTTACTATATGGAGAGTGTCACCTGTCCTTGATGCAGTTCTTGTTCCTTCTCCTAAAGTAGGGGCTGTAAGATCTGACTCTAGGTAGAAGTTTCTGAAACCATCCCAGTCACAGTTAAGAAGGTCACAGTATGGAGCAAGAACATGGACAAAGCCTGAATCTTAAAGCAACTGGTGAAATACAAAGAATAGAACTTACCTTCTTAGGAGAAAACATAGCTCCCAATTTTGGGAAAACAGTGGCACCACCAGCTTCTACATTGCTCATCTAGGAAAACAAAGCACAGTAGTTTGTCCTTCTTATCTAGGCACCCAGACTCTACATACTGCTTAAGGATGTGTTATCAAACTGTTTTTTTCCCCCATCACATCTCAGGTCTCAGTAAAGACAAATCTGGGCAAGTTATTTCTGGTTACTTATTCCGAGGTCTTTTAATTCCAAGAAGGGAGAGCTGTTTCATAAAACAAAAGTTGGTTTATATTAAGACTTTCCTTATGATCCCTTCTCCTAGCCCTGAGTCCTCTATCTCTCAAACTCCTCAACTAGACGTGAGGTCTTCCTTCATTCCACAGGATTCATGAGTTATCTCCTACACCCTCAGACAGATATATCCCAACTCTGGGACTCAGAGACAGACAAAATAGGAACATACCTTCCCTGACTTATATTTGGACCTCTCAGGTATGTATTGTAGTGCTCTACTTCACTTTTTCCCTGACAAATCCCATCTGTCAGAAGAGTTAACCATAGTCATACACCTGGACAGGATCCTAAGACCCCCAAAAGAAAACAGTGAGGTCAGAAATATCTGTAAGAGTTTTCTGAACACTAAAGTAGTCAGTGGTAGAGTCCAAGTGAAGGGTATTAAAGAAAGTGCAACAATCACTCTTCAGTCAGGTAATCTTGCCCTTTGCAGGACCTTTGTCTGGACTGACCCCCCCCCCCAACTCCCCGTAAACGTACCATTTTCAGAATTGCACAATATGTACAGGTTGCAATATCATCTGTTCTCCAGGAGCTTAAATCCTGCTGCTGTCCCTTTCTTAAGCTAGAATGTGTTCTATAACTTGTCTCCGCAGGCTACAAGGATCGATCCCTAGCTTTTTCCCAACTATATCTTCCCTGGAATTCATATGAAAAGTTCTATAGACACTACTTGGCCCACTTTCCCCTTCCTTGAGGTTTGTTAGCAGGAGATCATACTAGGAGTCACTGGAAAACACTGAATACACTGTCCCAGGAAGAGTTTCTCCAACTGCCCAGCCTTGACAGGGCCACTCGAAAAGAAGTAACTCTATATATTAACCCCTTGAAATTTACTTCTCCCTTTCTCTGACTCAATTCAACAAACAGCCTAGGGAAAATTTAAATGTGTGGTGAGTCATCTAGATGTTTCTTTCAAGACTGAGAAGCTCATTCCTAAAGTTTCTGTTAGTTTCTGATGGCTCACAGGTATATACCTCCCCAGACATTGGTCACATCTGAAAAGAACTGCCTTCTGGAGACAGACAACAGATGCTAGAGAACAAACATCTAAGCATCTTGCCTTAATTTAAGGAACTAGTAAAGGGCCTTCCAAGTAGAAGAGTTCCCCATAGTACTGATTCAGGTCTCTGATGAAACTATGTTAGAGTTCACCTTATTGCACTGCGCATCCTCATTTTCCTCAAATACCTTGTTATGCTATTCCTGAATGAAAACCTTTGATTCAGAGTCTATAGTCAGGCAAATCAAGCTAAAAAAAGTTGGAACCAGGGCCTTCCCTGGTGGCGCAGCGGGTTAAAGCACAGCACTGAGAAGCAAAAGTCACTTCAGCATGAGTTCGATCCCCGCCCCAGAGGTGATCCACATGGTACAACAGACCCACCCTGACCCACCCACAGCTCCCCTTAGCAGTGTTCTTTTTCAGCCTGTTCTGCTCCCCCCCCCTCTGTCTCTGGTGAATCCTCTCACCACCCCTGCACCTCTGGCCTACACATCAGTTCTGTATGCATAAATAAATAAATCTTTAAAAAAAAAGTTGGAAACTGAGTAGTCCTAAAAATATGTTCTAAAATGTCATGGGCTCATCTCTCTGGTGCGTGGCAAGGAAGACCCATCACAAATATCAAGTGTGATGATGGAAGTCCCCATTGTGGTAAAATTTTCAAACTTTCACTAATGGTGAACTGAAATGGGATAAGAGAGGAAAAGAATTCATTGACTGTTACGAGGTCTTAGGTGATTGAGAGACAGAGGGGTGTAGTAGGAAAATTAATGTCCCATAAAGATATCTATGTCCTGGATGGAGCTGTAAGGGATCATGTTTAGTGAAATAAGCCAGAAAGAAAAGTAAAAATACCATAAGGTTTCACTCATAGCAGGGGTATAAAGGACCAGGGGAGAAAATAATAATAATAATGAACAAGAGACATTTTATGGGGGTGTAGTGGGGAATGGAATCAAAAAAGGGGGGGGGGGAGGAAGTGCACTGGACAATGGTAATGGCACACAGGTGATTTGGTGATGGGAAGCCCATGGGGATTAAGACATGGAAAAAGGCACAAAATGATGTAAAAATAAACTATTATATTATTTTTTAAAAATGTCCTAGCCATTGGAATTTTTGGATATGTCATATTACATGGTAAAGGGGAGATAAGAACTGCAAGTAATAAGATGACTTTAAGATAAGATTACTATACAATATCAAGTGGACCCAACATAATAATCACAATGGTCCTTTAAATAAAGAGGAAGACAGGCATTCAGAGTCAAAGAGATATTTGAGGATACTAAGTTGCTACCTTCAGAGATGGAGAAAAGGACCATGAGGGCCCTTCCTGGTGGTGCAATGGGTTAAAGTGTAGCACTATGAAGCTATCCACATGTGACCCACATGGCATGGCAGATCTCTCCTGTTTTGCCCACTGCTCCCCTCAGCAGTGTATTTGCAGTCAATCTACCTGTTCTCCTCCCCACTCTGTCTCTGGTGAATCCTCTCACCCCCTAAACCTCTGGCTTGTACCCCAGTTCTTGTGTGCATAAATAAATAAATC